AATGTTTTCACTAGCCCTCATATGTTGATATAACAATCATGTCTGAAGCAGAATTTACAGAAGACCAATATATCAGGCTAAAATTTAGGCAGCCATTTACTTTATGTCTTTTGGTTAGAAATACTCTTCATCTGAATGTGATCTGAAAAGAAAAATTATTCTTTTAAATTAGAATGGCATTTATATGTATAATCTACATCCAGTCAATCTCTATTCTGTAACACAGTGTCCTGATCATTCAGATTCCTCAGCACAACAGCTGCTGACCAGAAAAATATAAATGATATGAAATATGCTAGGACTACAGGTAATGCATTTGGTTTCCTCTAATAGGGTTCTCAAGGAAAGCTATGTGACTAAAATCAACTTTCAGCTTAATGTTCACAAATATCAAGAAAAATTGGTTCAGGCCAACTGTTCTGGACTATGTAACTAAGGGAAATAAAATTGTTTTGCATCCCATTGCAACACTAAGACCAAGGTGATAAAGATTGCTTTTCTTTTTTCAGTTTATTTAATTTTCTTAGACATATATTCCTTTATAATTAATCATTGTATATTTAATTATTTGATTAAATTAATGATAATTTTAAAATATTTTAATTGCAAAATGTCAAAATAAAGCTTTTTAGTTTCTTTCAGTTTTATTTTTTTGGGGGTGAGATTGATCTTCACTATTTTCAGTCTCCTGAAAACTTCAATTTTCTAGAAAATTAATATTACTCAAAATCCTCTTGCTTTGCTTCTGAGAGTCCTAAAAAGCTATTGAAATTTAGCACTTAACCTTTTCAGGTTAATCCTATGCTATTCAAAAAAAGAACCCAGCTGAACAGTTATAATAATGCCTATGAGAATAATTAGTGATCCTGTTTTCAGGTTAAAATCTCATTTAATGAGAGAAAAAAAACTCAGCTAGTAAGGTGGGAGTAAGCAACAGTAAGAAACTTTCAGTATTTGCACTAGACAGCAAAGCAATGGTTTCCCATCTATTTTCACACTAAATTTATGTTTACACCTTTAAACTACGTGAAACAGGAGCAAGAACAGGAATTTTAAATTCTAGCTTCAGTTTCCATCTATCTTTTCTTCCTCTTCTAAGAAAGAATTTCTATTGCTATTAAAAGTTGAACCTATTTATCTTTAAATGAATTAAGGTTTAACAGCAATTGGGAAAACTGCTGAACAGAAACTTAAAAAGCAACTGTTCTTTGCTCAAGGAAGGAAACAGAGCTATTTCCTCAACAATTTCCCAAAACGGGAAAGCTGACCTTTTTAAATGGAACACTTTATAGCACAAAGTTCTTATCAACTTATCAACTATATCTTATCAACTATATCAAGGCTATAAGGCACCATGCAAATTATCATATGAAAGTAAACTGTTCCAGCTGATTTTAAAATCCAGTAAATAAAGAAGAGCAAAAACAGTAACACTATGCCATTCTCTTGCATCCTGAGCAAAAGGACCAGAGAATTAGACATCTTGCTATAATTTCGCTCTTCCATGGATTTCTAGTCCTTATTTTTCTTTAGGTGCCATATGCAGAAATATACATAAATATATATGCCAACAAAGTAACAATAGGAAGTGGACTCTCGCAAAAGATCAGATGCTAGCCAAAATCTTTTCAAATTTTATCTAACCTTTGAAATTTAAATAAATGCTAAGTGGAACCAAGAGACGGTCTTAATATTTTTACTTTAAGAAAATACCATTAAGAAAACAGAAAGAGATTGCATTATTTGTCTTTTTTTTCTGTAAGATTGGCAGTATCTTTTCTGATTGGCACTAATCCTAATTTCTATTATATCCATGCCACAGTACCAAAGTCAATGAGGGAACCTTTAGGTGTAACAGATAGCAGAATTTGGCCTCTTCACTTCAGAAATCTATTTTCTCCCATTGCTCTCGTTCCAGCCTTGTTATTTTGTTGCTGACCGCACTGCCCACAAAACTAAAAAGCTTCTCAAATAGACCCTAGAGAGCTCGTAGCTAAGTTATAATGTCTGTTACTACAAACATTAGACTTTTCATTTATTAGCAGTAAAGCAAGAGGCCTTTTAATGCCAATATGAGGTTTGAACGTCCATCCTAATAGCATAAGAACACGGCTGCATGCTTCCCTGTACCCTTCGTCCTAGTTAAATGACCTTCGCTGTCACTGAGGTAGCTGTTATCCTTATGTTAATGCTATACTATCTCAAAAAAATCCATGCTTCAGATGACAGATGGCAGAAGTCTGCACCTCTCCTCACAAACTGGCTTACCCAAAGCTGACATTTTGTAAATGTCATCTCAAATGTTTACTGTCTTTGTCCAGGTCTGTAATGTCAGCTCAGAGGATCTGATACTAAACAAGCATCACAGATAACGGTCTTATTTTTAATTACCCTTTTTTAAGAGTTGAGGGAAAAAAGGCAAACTCTTCTATGCCAGTGCAAATGCAGGTCTGAAAATCTGATTCAGGCATTCACATTTTGTTTTCAACGGTCTCAACAGTGCATACTTGCAAAAAATGCGTTATATGGGTCAAAGCACTTTCTGGAGTACATGTTACTGCCATCACTACCAGTGCCACTTCTTTATTCTTATGTATTAAAAGGCTGATTCTAGCAAGGAAACTGTTCTGAAGGTAACCTGCCATCTTCCCTCAATTTCAAAGCTAGCCTGTGTGTCATGACAGCTCTTTTGTCATCTACATGCCGGCAGTAAAAGCTATAACTGAAACCCTGCTGCACCTTAGTATTTGCTGTATTTGGATGATTAAGTCAGATGACGACTTTAGTAGTGATAATTTATCCGTTCATTTGGGAAATGCGTGGCTCATTTTTAATATAAGTATCTTTTGGAAGTCCCTGCAATGCAAAATGGCTGTTGTTTCACAAGCTTCTCATTTTCATTTTATAGATGAGTGTGAGGCCTTTAAGAATTTATGACTTTTTGCAAACAAAATGCAGTGCATAACTCTTTTCCCGTATGCTGGTAACCTCTCCTCAGAGAGGAGAACCTTGGGACAGCATTGATAAGGCTTTTATTTTGCTTTGTTGCCCTGAGGAAATCTTAAGCCAATGAGTAAAGAAATTCCTCTTTTCTTAGTGCATTTGTACCAGTATAAGCATTTGTAGCATAAGGCAGGATCCTTAACAATAGAAGCCTCATGTGACTTGCTGTAGCAACGACTCCAGATAAAATCAGTGAAACTTAAATTCTGCATCCAGAATAAGTACCTGGAGGTGAAAACTAATCTACAGTTTAGGGTAAACTAAAGACAGCATAGGTCATTTTGGAAAAGCTGGAAGAGAAATAGGCAAGGGAACAGCAAAAATTTTTTTAATTTGTAGATGAGCAGAATTTTTTGCAGTTTCTCTGGTTCTATTTTCAATGCATACTAAGAAAGATATTCTATAGCGGTCTCAGTAAAATTTGATGAAGGCAAGCCAGCTTTCTATTGAACGGATATCTGGAATAGTCACTAGATGATTAACCTCTTCCTCTTCATTTAATACTACATTTCAGACTAAGAAGGTCTACAATTGCAGATTCCTAACAAAGAAATTTCTTCATCATGAATATTTTACTACTAACGAATTTGGCTTTCCAGTGATGAAAAATTTTAATTTAGCTCAATGTCACTGATTATTTGTTAGTGGTATCATTATTTTAACAGTCTCTAGTATCACCTGTTTCTTTTATATTCTGAAAATAATAATTCATCTTATACCCATCCGATTCTGACCTAAAACCTGTGAAAATTAATAAGCTCTATGCGAAGTCAAGTTTTGTTACCCATTAGCAGTTTCTGATTTATTTGGTTATGTTTAATGGAATAGTATTTATAGTGGTAAATATATATGTATATAGTATTTGTGTATTTATAAATATACTATTTTTAGAATAGTATTTTATAAAGAAAGCATTAAAAAACCCTACTGTAATTAGCACCAAGTCAAGCTTCCATTTTCTTGCTGGCCATCACAAAAGCAGGTAACATTTTCATCATTTCCTACATTTTAGAGGAGCTAAAGTTTCTATTTTTAAGGCTAAGAGAGAAGATAATGCTGTAGAACAGCTGCATACACATGCCTCACCTTTCTCAGTGACAGATTTTTATTTTTCTTTTTTCTGAGGACAATAGACAGGATTTCAGTAAACAAAAGATTTTCTTTCTGATGAGGATTATAGATATGGTGAGCCACTTTTGCCAATTTTCTTTCTAGTCTGGTGCACAATGGGCAAAGATTTGTGTCCAGCTAATATTTACCAGCATGGTAAATGAGGAAATCTAATTGACAGATATGTGCTGCAATTATCACTGCTGATGGAAACAGGCCAATATGTGGAAGAGAGTGAACTGAAGGCATTATTCATTCCAAAACCTTCTTGATTTGACCATCACTTTGTCTGCTTATGAAAACACAACTGATTTGACCGCAGCTCCTCCAGGGATCCAGCACTTTTTATCCTCCTAAAAGCCTTATCTGATGAAAGACTCACATGTCTAACATGCAGTTTATGTAAAATGCAGGTAACTGGGTCCCACTCAGCAATTTTGAAAACCTCTGCTCGCTGGCTACCAAAGCCCAAGAGGCTCTGTAAAGCCCTCAGTCACAACTTTAAAGTTCACTGAGCCCTGTACAGCGTGTTTTTGTTCTGAAAGAAGGAAAATCTTTCATACCCACTGTATGTCTAAGCCCAACCAGCTTCATGCTCCAGAATAACAGTTTCAGTATGGTAGGCTTTCTCTGAATATCCCTTATGTGCAGAAACGTAATTATGTTGGAACTACTCAGATCAACAATAGCAGCAATCAAAGTGCATCTGCCTAGGAGGACTGGGAATTCAGAGTACAGAAGTTTTGTATAGTCAAGTTTTCCGTGGGCTGGGAGAAGTGATGTAATAATTCCAGCATTCAGGATAACTTTTCCCACTAATACAAGTTGGGTGATCATACAGCATATTAAAACCTACCAAGAATAATTATTTTTTTCTACACTTTCAGGAAGTGCATTTGAAGAATACAAGTAGAGGGAACACAGGAAACAGAAACTACAGAATGTAAGAACATGCCATCCACAAGAGTGAAGAATGAATGTGCCATCTGCAGGATACTTTGCTGTAAATAAATTATTTGTTAAACATTGGAAGACTTAAAAAAAAACTATGGTTTAGTAAGCTTGATGCAATCTCAACCAATGGGCATTCTCCCAGTGAACAATGCAACTAAACATTCCAATATTAAGTCTTTAGAGAATAGAACATTTTAACCAGCCCAGAGTTTTAAAAAAAAAAAAAAAATCTGTGGTTGATATATTACTATTTGTTAACCTGTTTTAAATGTCCTGCACAAAAACTCTTAAAGTCCTGTGCCCCTCAAAAGCCTACAAATTTATGGGCCTTTGATGGATCCAATTGCACTAAATTAACCTATGAACGCTGGCTGCTGGAGTCGTTCATCAGCCTTGTCTAAGTGTTTTTTCTTTATTTGCACTTCTATACAAGCAACAGGCTGTTTCTTTTACAGTGTCTGATAACATTGTTTGTCTACCCCTTCGTATTTGCACAGTTTGACATTCCCAGTAGCAGCAGCAGTAAGGTAACATACCGTTTTAAACATCCATTAATTCCATCTGTGGCATTTTGACAGAATATGGGTTATACATACATTCATTTTAGGACAGTTTTTTTTTTCCTTCTCTTGCAAAGATGCAGTTTGTTGCAATTTGTGAGACAAATGATTTTTAAAAGCAGTTAAAGCATACATAGGCTCTAAAACCATTAATGATTCTTCCAGGTAATTGTTTTGCAACAGTATAGGTAACTTCTTTCTTCCTCCATATAATGCAGTATGTAAAATTTAGCATATCAATAATACACATATATCAAACAGTATGTAAAAATCTGTTTTATAGTACAACGGTGCTATTTTATAGTTTGTTATATGAAAGGGTCTGGCCAAAACCGTAAAAGGTAAAAGCAAATATGGAAATATCAAGCCAAAGATGAAATTAAAAAAAAAATAGTTTGAAGAATATTCAGTTCTATTTTTAAATTGGCTTAAATGGCTTTACATTCCAATATGCAAATAACTTTCCCTTCTGCAAAAGAAAATTCAGATATACTTGCTTCCTTTTAGAGATTTAGATGATGGCGTATTCACTTGCAGTTACTTGGATTCATAGATGCATGGGCCCAGAGAAGACAATTTAAAAAAACAGCTTTCAAATTACTTCAAAGGGTAGCATCAGGCCTCGATCTTTCTGAAGTATCAGCAGTCTACTCTTTTGTGAAAGAGGGCTAACCATGTTCTCTGCCATTTTAATTCTTCCCACAATCTGAGGTGACTAAATGGAGTGTTAATTAGGCCACTGCATCTCTGTAAATCAGCAAAGCTAATCTAATCACCAAATTACAGCGTAAAAAGAATCTTCAGGAAGGGATAAACCATAAAATCCTTCAAAATGCTACTTACAATACCTTTCATGCACTCTTATACAAGACATAGAACATATTTCTAGATAACCTCTGCCGTGTCACCTCGATATGGAATGCACTGTTTCTACCTTGAGTAACACTGTTTCCTCTGCTTCGTTTTTGTAAATTAATTCAGAGCTAGATTGACCAAGCAGCAAGGGGGATAGGTAACCAAGAGCATCCCAAGGAGAGCAATAAACTTTTACTTAGAAGAAAGGAAGAGAAGGCAGTGGAGAAGACACTTTCTACGCTGTCCAGAACTGCAGTGTGGTTCCCCTTGTCCTTCTCCTGCCATCGCACTGCACTGCCCATGGCAAGCTCAGACAGGGGAAGGAGCATTACTTGGTCAGCCTCAAAGAGGGCAGGGGGAATACTGTATGAAGGGAGCAGCTACAGACATAGGGAGATGTTATATCAAATCTGTAAAGGAAATATATCTCTTTAAAGGCTCAAATCTGCCAACCTTCAACTTCTACTGAATCCATAGGAATAGATGACTGAATTAGTAACTCCTCAATTGTTTCATTCCTTTAGAAAAAATGGGTTTCATATTTTTTTGCAAGGAATATGCAATGTATTCTTATGCAACTCTTTAAACCCTCCTCTTTCTGTGAGATGCATGTTTATAAGCAGAATAGGTTGCCATCATACCATCATGCCGTCATAAAAGCAGAACAGTAAATGATTAAATAGAATGTATCACATCTGTCACTGACAGAGATGGGTATGTTGAAAAAAAGGGAAGAAGGTACAGAGAAGCAGTTGGGGAAACTAACCTTAACTATTTACCATCAGTTCAATAAACAGAGGTAGCAATTCTGATATGTTACAACTGTCACAAGGGATTTTTTGGTGGGGGGATTGGGAGAGGTGTTTTTACTTCAGTGGCTGTTAAGAATTCTGAAGGGCACTCTAAGAATAAGCCATTATTTTCATCTGTCAAAAACATAATACATATTTCCATTTTGGGTCTCATGATTCCTGTCCCCTACCTCCTCTCGAGATCTGGGCAAGGAGGGAGAAAAAGCATGAGCCCAAAAAGCAAACTGCAGATCTCTGTGGATGGCAAGTTTCTTCAGACATAAAATGTTGTTGATGCAGTGCTAACCAGTTTTTCTGCAAAACTAGACATCACTGTATTATTTAAATTGCTGCAAATTAAATCCAAATGTTGTTCCTATCCTGGGATTCATGCAATCTCATTACATGCCACTGTGTTTCTTCCCTTGAGTACCATAATCAGAAAGTGTCTCTGGTAGACAACATTATCCAACCTCAGAACTTGACAAGTGTCCAAACAAATTATAACAATTCTTGGAAAGAAAGCAGAATAAATAACGAGTGGCTAAAAGCTTCAAAGGAAACGTATTATTTTATTAAAGGAGGAATGGGACTGCAATACAGAGACTAGATCCACCACAGTAAAGGTGAGAAATGCATGGGTAGGGAATATCTATTTGCATGAGAATTCTCCAGACTTATGGCAGGGAGCACATAACATAGTAGTCAGTGTGAAAGAGAAGGGCTGCATTAGCTTATTAATCTAAATAAGTTCGCTACTTAAAGAAGCAAAAGTATGAGCCGAAACGTCTCCCTCCCCAAAGGTACAAAGTAGTCTGGCTTGAAAAGCTTCTTAGTTAGAGAAATTCAAGGGTTCAGCTAGATTTTAAAAAGCACTCCAGAGATTTAGGAACAGAGCTCTCACTGGATGCCACTTATTCTCATTAATCACTCAAACAATAAAGAAAATCCCACTCCACGTCCTTCCATGTCATGTAAAACACATGACTGAAGTCACAGATTTTTGCATTCTAGAATTGACATAAAACTCCAATTATTCCACAGAATGTCACTGAAGTACAGAAAAAGAAAAGGGAATTGTTTCATTATTTTTAGTAAGTTCAAAAAAGGCTTCAGATCTAAACCCACTGAAGTTAATATACCTCTTTCTTCGAGGTAGCAACATTTGAGCCTCATCTCCATAGTAACCATAATTAATCATTAAGAGTTTTCAATGGAAAATGAATAAATTCTATATTCTACTCAAAACATACTTAAAAACCTACACTTACAGTTGTGTGAAGGGCTCATATGAGGCTCATTTGCACCACTCCAAAAAGAGAAAAAAAAATCAAACAACAGGATACTGCATTCTGCCCCTCTACATACTCTAAAGAAGGCACTTTTTGCTCAAGACGGATTGATACAGTCTCAATAGCTCTATTAAGATCAAAGGGTAAATTAGCGATAAGCTTTCCTTACAGAAGTGAATTCCATTCAGAACTAGCAGCCATGTTCAGTTGCTGCATAAGCTAGTTGTTGACTCAGTATCAATGGTTAAAGTTAATTAAGAAAGACTCTATGCCAAGCTCATGTCTTCTCGGCTCTCAGTTTTAACAAGCAAGTGCATGATAAGAGAAGCTCAAAAAGTGCAGTATATTTGCTTTACCTTTTACTGATTTGGTCAACAATGCCAAAGTGGTGCTATTGTTTTGTTTAAGAAAGTACTTGACTAAAATATAAAAGAAAGCATAAATATTTTTTTAAAGTATGAAAATGACAATTATATAGGTATGGTTATTAAAATAGAAATACAACTAGCCATAGCTTTTCAACTTTTTGTCACTCAACAGTAGCAAAATATCTATTAGTCGTTGGAGATGGGGCAGGAGTAAGAATCAAAATGCCACAAAAATTCATGGATTTGAAATGCAGTTATGATTCTTTATTCTAATGCATTAATACAGATGAAGAAAAACATTTAAAGTCAGGGGAGAAAGGACATAACTTCAAGCTATTCAGATTAATGCAAGTCCTACATCAGATCAAATATTTTGAAGCCACACTCTAGGCTGAAATCAATGTTGAGTTTCACTTAAGTCAGTGGCAGGATATGATGGAGATTTTAATTCAGTAAAACATCTTATTTTTACCTGATAACCTTCTTACTCATGATATGCCTCAAAAAGTAATCATTCTTTCACTAAAGAATGCATTTTCACAAAGAAATGCATTTGAGCTTGATAAGGAACGAAGAACAAAATATTCCTAATATGAAACAAATGTTATTTTTAATCCTGATCAGCTATGAATTGTGAGAAAAAGTTGAAATATATGGCTAATAGTCTGTGAATTTTTGTTTTAACTTTATATGGTCACTATGAACATCCTAATGTGCAGAATTACACATTTCATTGTTTTGTTTTTAAATGATGGTAAATTAAGCCCAAATAGAGATTCTTTGAACCTATAGGCTAGATAGAATACTGATGTTCTGATGAAGTTATAATCAATATATTTAAAATGTTTTATTTTTAGTCTGAAAAGGAATAGTAATAATTTATTTGGGGACTCAACCTATACTCGTCCCTCTTTTAAGGATACTGTTCAGTACAACAAGTCTTCCAGATTCCAAACTTCTATTCAAAAATCAACATTCATTCCTCGCTCCCTCCCTGTCCCAGCAAATCTTGTTAAAAAACTATTGCAACATAAGCTTTATTGTCCATTTGTTTTGGGGGGTGGCTTTTATGTCGTTTCACTTAGTTTTGTTTTCGAGACAGGGGAAAGGAGGAGGACATGAGGTTTTCAAAAAATTAAGATTTTTCCTTCTGGCTGCAAACCACAAAAAAAAATAATTTGCCTTGATGAGATTACTAATTATCCAGTTCGTTTGTGGAAATAGCATTAAGTAAAGCAACTGGATTAAAGTTCAGTTTTGAAAGAGGAAAAAAAAATCATGAACACAAACTTTTACTCATTGTAATCCTACACTATATATTTTGCTTGTCACAGCATTGTAATATTCTACTGGACTATCACTGTCCAAACACACAGTATCTGATATATATAAATCTTCTTTGGTTTTTTACATGAAGGGTGTTGTGAGAATATCTGAAACTTGATTACATATAGTACAGTATAGAGATACCAGTCTAGCAGAGACTAAAACAAGAAGGACCTCCCTGATGCTTACATTACACTAGGAAGTCTCATACTAGTTGCATAAAGGGTGTGTATATATGTGTGTGCGCGCGTGTGTGTGTGTATACTGCTTTTCTTTTTCTTCTCAAGTAAAATTTGACTTTCTTGCTTTTTACATATTTTTTATCATGGATTATATTCAATAATCCAATTGGAATCTAATTTTAGAGGAACATTACATAATATGGGTGTCACAAGTTAAATCCTACATTTGCTACGCCCAAAGAGATGGCCTGATTTTTAAAACATAAGGCACTTCTCTACTTTCATCCAAAAATCAGACAAAACTATTTATGTGTTTAAACATGGATTCAAAATCCTAACTCTGAATACCTTATTTTGAAAATAGTGACTTCAGAATTTTGCTTTATTTCATTCCTCTTCAGATGACTTCATGTGAGATTTTGAAAACCTAAGTGTCCCTCTTGAGGTAAGAATAATGGGTTACACAAAGAGAGCAGAAAAAGGATTTTTGACAGTTCAATACGGTGTCACTTCAATAATTCATTTATAGAATTAGATGCTCCTTATAAGTAGACTTCCTGCCTCTCTATATTACCCATAACTAGTTCAGAAATGGGAAAGACTTAGTATGGCTTCTGACCAAACTGTACCCCAATATCTAACAGTTTTACAACAAATGAGATGTAAATTCATATATCTCCAATTTTATATCACCATTTTTGATCTCTATTTTTCAACAACTTTTTATTTTGCCAACTTGGCTCACAAAAGTCATAAAAATCATCAACTTGATACTTCTGCTGCTAACCATTCTTTCCTACAAATATTTGACATATGTACGTCTACCTACAATATTTACATAGTTACTTGACTGAAGATCTTCTTAACAAACAGCATCTATATAGTTGGGAGATTAATTTTTTTCCATGCTTTAAAGGTATAAACCATTCCTCAACTAAATTACAGACATTTGACATTACTGTACTTTACATTCATTAATACCATCTCATTCCCTAAAGCAACAACAAAATACTCTATCTGGGTAAAAAGGATCATGCCTCATATACTCTTGTGTTAAGGAAAAAGGTTTAACCAGATGACTATAATTAGAACTGATTCTAAGAAAGTCATATTTATTATTGAAATATTTAATTCTGAAGGTTTTGAAATCAAATGAATGTTCCATTACCTTTGGTTTACTGGCACTGACCTGGTTTATGGTGTAAAAAAGGTCCCTTCAATGATGAGCAAAAACAAAGGATCCAAGGCCAATATATTGACTTGCTATAAAGGAAAGAGTAAAAATGGTCTTATTTTATGCACAGGGATGAATTCTGTCTCAGATGATTTTTATTTTATTTTAGATTAAAATTTCAAATCAACATGGATATAAGTAAGAATTATCTTAGAATTATGATATTCTTCATTATTTCCACTTAGAAACAATTTTGAATATAATAAAGCACATGCAAGCTACACTGAATTATACAATAGGTGAAATTTACCCTTTTGTTTATAACCATTTCTAAGGAATCAGTTGGACTGAATTCTACAGAAATTTAGTGTAAGACGGAAAAACAACTGTAGTAAGCGCATAATCATAATAGTCGCCTGATTAAACTAAGTCTTATCAAACACAAGTCAAAGTGTTCCAGTGAAAGCACTTGTATGTGAATACTTGTACTTCATAATGTTCTGAACAGCTTCACTTCTAGTCTGATACTTCACATTGCTTTTATCAGAATGTGATGATTCTGCTTTAGTTTCTTAATTCTTGGAGTCTTTGGGGTTGAATATCAAACACGTTCATCAAGCCTCAGGATTTTAAGAAGTAAAAGTTAAATCAGAAGAAGTAGCAGCATGTGCTGCTCATAATCAAGTCATATATGCGCTTTCTCTCCTCCCAAACTATCTGTAAAGCCACCCAAAAGTGGTAAATTAAGAGATGAATAGCACTTGTTTTTTAGGAGGTCACTCTTTCAAATAGAAATATTAGCTGTCCTCCCTTTCTTCACTGTTGGACTTAAATTGATATCCTAACAAAAACTTGGGTTTACAGGATGCAGGCATGAATGTGGATAGATGAATTTCTGATTTCACTACTGAATAATGCTAGTATTAACATTTCAACTCATTATAACCAAACAGTGAAAAGTCTTAAATGTTCACTCTAAACCATGTAAGCTCTCTATTAAAGATCTAACTGGATTTATTCTTTCTTTTTTATTTTCTTGTGCTTACTCATAATGCAATGTCACTACTTGATGACAAGTAATATTTCATACTGTGTATGTAACATCGTGTTGCAGAATCCCCCAAATACCTCAACAATGTCTTTGTTGCGCTGTTCTCCCCATTTAGCACTTATAGGCTTTTCTAGTAACAATAAATCCAAAAAAGGAACTCCTAATATGTACAAATATAAAAAAAATTATCAAGAATTTTCGCTAGTTTGCAGTTCATGTAATGCCATCTCGACCATTCTCTTTCCCTTACAAAAATAATAGTGTATTCATGCTTTTAAAGGCTTCATATGCGTTTATGGTAGGT